CCCCCCCCCCTCCTCAGTACGTCTTGTCGACACGCTTCACGCTCAACATGTTCGTGCTCCTCATCCAATCCCTCGTCGGGGTGATTCTGGTTCGAGCGGCCAAATCGACAGGAGCGATTCAATTGAGAGACTTTAATTCCAAAGATGCCAAGAATTGGTTTCCCATCAGCTGCCTGCTCGTCCTCGTCATTTGGACCGGCAGCAAAGCTTTGGTGAGTGCAGTTCCTCGCGCAGCAGAATGTATGTGCTCTGCTCCTTGCCGGGCGCTCGACCTTTAGCTGCGTCTGGTGCGTATCAAGGCGCTGACCACCACTGCATACATGCCCTGCGTCGTGCACAGCAATTCCTGAGCATTCCAGTGTACACCATCTTTAAGAATCTCACCATCATCCTCATCGTGAGTCAGCAGATTCGCAGCTAGCTGTCCAAATATCCCAAGCTGATCACGCTCTTTTCGTCGCCAAAGGCATACGGCGAGGTGTTCCTCTTCAACGCTCGCTTGACACGCATCATTCTCCTGTCCTTTGGCTTGATGGTGCTCTCCTCCATCATTGCCGCATCGGCGGACATTGCTCGGGTACTGGACCTAGCCGACCTAAGGATGCCACACAATGCCGACTCTCTGGATGCGGTGAGCCGCCTTTCAGCCGGCCACGAGGTGGGAACATCGGATCCTCTTGCGGGTATCAAAGCTAGCGTCAATGCTCTAGACGCGCCAGACAGCGAAGGGGAAGGAGTGCTGGAAGCGATGGGCGGATGGCACATTTTCAACTCGGGCTACGTCTGGATGGCCCTCAACTGCACCGTCTCGGCCGCATACGTCCTCTTTATGCGCAAGAGGATCAAGTCTTTTGGCTTCAAGGATTGGGATACCATGTACTACAACAACCTCCTCAGCGTGCCCGTGCTGATCGTCATGAGCCTGGTGCGTCGGTGATTAGGCCTCGCGTTGCCTGGTGAGATCCGCTCGTCTAACAGTTTGATGTGCTTACCCGCGCCACACCAGTTCGTCGAAGATTGGAGTGGCGCAAACTTTGAAAAGAATTTGTGAGTGCTTGCGTAGCAAGAGCAAAGGGCGTCACATGGGTCTAGACTTTTTGATACGCGCTCACACTTTTTTTTTTTGGTTTCCGCGGGACGGCCGCAAGTCCGAGCGACAGACGCACCTCGCTTATGACGGCCATCGTGTTTAGCGGAGCTTGCGCCGTGTTCATCAGCTACACGACGGCATGGTGCATTAGGGCGACGAGCAGCACAACGTACAGCATGGTGGGAGCGCTGAATAAGCTTCCCTTGGCTCTGAGCGGAATGGTCTTCTTCAACGATCCCGTCACTACGGGAAGCACCACTGCTATCGGCACCGGATTCTTGGCTGGGTGAGTGAAGGAGGGCGGACAGTGTGCCCTCGTGCTTGAAGGACATCACGCCGCTCACATTTCACGCATCCGTGCGCGCGCGCGTGTGCAGCTTGGTTTATGCGTACGGCAAGAATCAACAAGCGGAAGCGGGACGACTTGCGAGTGCGAACGGAGCGGCCAACCATGGTGCATCATCAAGCTTGGAAGAGAGGGACGAGTTCAAGGGATCGTTGCCCATGCATCAGAGAGAGGGGGGCGCAAAAGGTCGCGTAGAATGAAGAGCGGGCGAGCGGGCAGGGCTGCATAGAGAGGCGAGGAAGCGAGGTGCAAGGCAGAGTCGCGCAACGATGCGATGTCACTTGATGCTTGCGCGCTACCATTCCATCGGCCGGCTATCCGAGTGGACGGCTCCTTTGAGTGCGATCGATAGGCTTCGGACGTCGATTCAGAGGCGCGCTCGACGAATGCATCTGTTACTTATCTCGGAAAAAGATCCTCGCTGTGATGCGACTCGTTGGCCCACTTTGGCCCGAGCTCAGCTCGACTGGTCAGTATGTGCGCCGCCCATGCTACATACAGCATATCATGCCCAATTAACATGTGCATGGCCTTTGCTCGCGACGCAGATCTCTCTCTGCTCGCGCGGCAACATGTGATTGTAAGCTGACCGATTGTAGCTTTGCCAATGATGAGCATTTATTCATGCTTGGGATGGATTGAGTTGGAGTGCATGCACGAGTGATACATTCACATTGCCTGCTCCCGGAAGTCACATGCCAGTGAAGTCGACGGGCGATGACTGCATGCGTGCTGGCCGTGGCCGTGGGCGTGGGCGCGGGCGCAGACAGACGTCAATCCAATCGTCCCCCCTCCCGCCCCTCTACTCTATATTCTTGATTCACACAACACACTCACGATGAAAGCCCCGCGTGTTGGATGTGGCGCACCTCATCACCCCACCTGATCCACCAGATCAAAACGAGGCTCGTCGGTCTTTTCGCTTATCGCCGAGGCCGGCGTAGGAAGGGTGGTTAGGCTTAGGGTTGGTTAGGATTAGGGTTAGAAGTGCGTGGGAACGGGGCGTTGGTGGCGTTTCGGCGCTGGAGTACCGGTAGCTGTTCCATCGATCGCGACATGCATCTATCTGCATATCAGTCGGCCGTAAGGCAGCCTTGAGGGGGCACACGTAAGTGAGGTTTGCTTAGAGCGTCTCAAAACAAGCTTTTCTGACTATATGCTTGTCGCTTGTGGCAGCAGATGCAGCTAGCTGTGCGAGGTCCCAGCATTCACATTGATCGCGAGCACGATCTAGGAGAGCCGCGGCCCCGGGTGCGAGGGTGCGTGCTGCGTGCTTGCGTGGTGATGGTTGGTGGGACGTGCAATGGTGCATGCATGGGCAACGCGGCAACGCGCATGCTGTGCTGTGCTCGATTTGCTGCACAAGTTGCCTGCCTGCCTGCCTGGATCGGATTGCTACATAAGTGCTGTTGTGACTGACTACTGTGCCGGTACCTGTGCTCATCCATCTCTACCCGCAGCAGCCTTCTCGCATCGACCACACGCACGACTTTCGCTCCGCGTCGATCAGCGCATATCAGCTAACAATGTCACAAATCCCATCTACGGCACAAGCGTGGCGCTTGCACAAGCTCGGTCTTCTGGCCGATGTCATCCAAGAGGATACGGTGCCTATTCCTTCGCCTGCCGATGGCGAGGTGCTGATCAAGCTCAGTCACGCTTCGCTCAACCCGGTAGATTACAAGCTTGTGGGATTGGTGAGTGATGAGTGATTGCTCGAGTGCGAGGGCGAGGGCGAGGGCGAGGGCAAGGGCGAGGGCAAGGGAGATTAGCTGGGCGCCCGTGTTGCACTCGTACTTGTTAGCAATGCGTGCGAGCAAGCGGCAAGACTGACGGCGTTCGTCGCATTCATCCGCGCCTGCACCCTTGCCCCTTTGCTGCTGCTGCCCCTTTCGTGTGACGCGAACAGATGGGACGCTTCTTGAAGCTTCCGCGCACAGTCGGAGCTGATTTTAGTGGAGAGATTGTCAGTGTTGCGCAAGGCTGCCACGCTTCTTGGGTCAAGCAAGGCGTGCGGGTGTACGGCATTTGGGCTGCGGACAAGGTATTGAGCAGCGGCAAGGGATCTCTATCCACCTACTTCACCATCCCCTCCAAATACCTTGCTCCCATTCCACCTTTGCTGGATTACGAATCGGCAGCGGGCATAGCTCTGGTCGGATTGACGGCGCTTAGTCTGAACCAGACGTTCCAAAAGGGTTGGAAAGTCTTCATCGTGGGAGGAAGCACTTCCGTAGGCTTGGCTGCCGCTGATATCGCGAAGGCTAAAGGAGCAAGTTTGATCGTTGCCAGCGCGAGCGGAGAAAAGAAAAACGTGCTCAAGCAGCGAGGTGTGGATGAAGTCATCGATTGTGAGTATGTGTGTGTGTGTGTGTGTGTGCATCCATCACAATGAAGTCAGTGCGGCGGGCGTCAGCGTGCGCAACAGTGCTCACAAGTCAGCATCTCCATCCCATCTCTCCACCCCCCGCTTCACAGACAAGGAGGTGGACGTGGCGGGAGAATTGTCTCTGCGTTACAAGGATCAGCCATTCGACGTCATTTTCGATTGCGTAGGTGATCGCTTCATCCACGAAAAGTGCCCTTCATTCTTGGTGAGTTGCCAGTTCCACCTCGAGCCAGCGCGAGGGTTTTCCCTTCGCCTCGTCACGCAACCCCGTCCATCTCTGACAAGCTGGCCCCGAACACGCGCAGAAAGCGACGGGCGAGTATCGATCGATTGGCGCATCGTCGCTCTCTCCGGAATCTAGAATCTGGTCTGCAGAATTTAGATCCTTGGGTCTGTGGTTCTTGAAAGCAACCATCCTCCCCAGCTTCCTCGGCGGCATTCCGAGAAAATTTAGACTCTTGGGTCCGAAGGATGATGATCTTCCCAAGCTCGACGAGTTTGTTCAATCTGGTGAGCAAAGGGCCTGCCTTGACTGGCTCGCTAGCAGCTTGGGCTGGCCCTGAC